GATGTGGGGAGAGGGTGGTTTGCCTTCCAGATCTGGCACAGGACTCTCCATCCTCCTAGTCTCACTACCAGTAGCATTTGGGAAGCTGCCTCGGGGGCCAGGGAAGGCCAGCAATTGGTTTTGGGTTATACAGAATTGCAATGTGGGGATGACGACTACCACTTCAGGCTGCAGACGAGATATTCTACTCCTGTGGCCCCTGCACTCACATCAGGCTCACTCCTTGTCCTTTTTTCTCTCAATGCCATGTGAAGTGAAGTCACTCCCAGGGATCCCTCCAAGCCCTGCCCCCGCCATTGCCACCTTCAGCCAAGCCCCGAGCCAGCCTCAGGCATCGCAGACCCTGACACCACTGGCTGTACAAGCTGCCCCTCAGGTAAGGGCCACCCGGGGAGCTGGACAGAGGGCAGTGGGCAGGAGCAAGGCATGGGACAGCCAGCATGGGATAGCTGTGGGATCTGGGAACTTCATGAGGCAGGACAGGGAAGGGGCTGTGGCTTGAGGGAGGGCATCTACTAGGCACCCCTAGCCTCTCGACTGTCCCAGATCAGGCTCATTTGGAAAAGAGAATCTGCATTTGCTGGGTAATCTCCTTGGGTCCAGCAAGGACTGTAGAAATTACATTAGCTCTTTCATGCTGACACAGTGTCTGTTTATCTGATGATTAAATGAATGAATACCCTTGTCAGTCTCTGCAGTGGATGCCTGGAAGAGTTAATGGCTTGTTCAGAGGGTCCTCATTTAGAGCCGGGGGCAGCCCCAGCACAGTGACAAGCTGCCTACAGGACTTTTGCAGGCATGCAGAGCTCCCTGTGACCACCTTTTGCTACAAGCACTGATTTCCAAGGCATCCAGTCAAGAGTATCCTTCAGCAGAGCTTTTTGGAGGCCTCTGAGACCCTTGACCACTTGGTTCCACTGCCTCTATCCCCTGTTCCCTGGCCACAAAGCACTAGTCCTGTGGGCAAGGGCCCGGGGAAGGCTTGGGAGGCAGCGGAGTGTAGTGGAAGAGGTTTGTGCACCCTTTTCCATCCTGTGATCAGGGCCAGGCCCTGTCCTGATTTGGGCAACTTCTCTGAAGGCAGGATAGTCCAGTCCAGGCACACCCTCAGGACTGGGCCTCCAGCTAGGGCTTGGCTTTTCCCCACCCTCATGCGGCTTTTCCCACTGCCCTCAGAATGCTTTGTTTGTGCTTAACTGGGTCTCAGAGACCCAGTGTTTGCGCTGTCAATGTTGATTTTTTATTTTTTCTTTTCTTTTTGAAATCTTGTTTGCTTTTGCAGGTCTTGACTCAGGAAAACTTAGCCACAGTTCTGACAGGAGTTATGGTTCCAGCAGGGGCAGTTACTCAACCTCTTCTTATCCCCATCAGTATTGCAGGTCAAGTGGCTGGTCAGCAGGGGCTGGCCGTGTGGACAATTCCTACAGCAACCGTGGCTGCCCTCCCAGGACTGACCGCTGCTTCTCCTACAGGGGGAATTTTCAAGCCACCTTTAGCTGGTCTCCAAGGTAACAGCAACTCTCCCCAGGACTGCACCAGGCCCCCCACCACCCTTCACCACCACCCCTGCACGTGTGCTTGCCATGTCGGACTAGAACCGGTGGCCCACCCAGTGCAACAGCCTGGGAGTCTGGATCTGGTGTCCCAGACACTCAGCCACAGAGCCGCTGCTCCACCTCGGACTCTAGACCATGACACCTTGCCGGCCCAGCACGCCCTTCTTACTTCAGCCAACTGTCTGAGAGTGCCCCTCTCCCCCCCACACCAGAATTCATCCCATGACCGGCCTCCTGAGGACT